AGTTTTGACTTTATCTGTGTGTGAATAAAAATGTGTTCATGGCAACAGGTGGATAATCAACAAACAAAGTTATTTTGAGCCACTTCCTACACACTCCTAAGCACTGAGAATGCCTGAGCATTGCTTGCAATTGGTTTTTATTTTCTTATCTTTCCTGAGACGAGGCAAGATAATAAGGTATTGTTTTGTATGTAAACCACAGAAAACCTGGAATGTGCTAGGAGTGAATAACATACTGTGGGTACTGTCGTGGGCAACACAATGGCACGTGCCACGTTGCCCACTGTGACCTGCTCTGGGCCAGGGAATGCTTTCTCCCAGATGTGCTACCAGTGTTTTACTCATGTGTCCAGATACCAAATAAACTCCATCTGCTGGGATTTAAGATATTTGTCATCCTATTTCTTTTAACAAATGGTAGCCTTTACATCCAAATATAGTTATGGCAATGTAATATGTCAGATATTTTGTGTTGGTAGTGAAAATACACTAAAGTTGAAAACATTTCTATTGCTTTATTGGAAACAACTTCTTTAATATGTTGCTTTAGTATATTCTTCTGAAATTTTTAAAATTTTCATGGAGTTTATACTCAGCTGAATGTAACTTACATTCAGAAATAACCCAGTTTTGTTTATGTTTTCTGAGCCATCTGCAGAGTAAGCACAGGAATCAGCAAACTTGCTTACCAAGCCAGTTGTTTGTCCTAACTCAGGTCAAAACACTGAAAATTTGTTCTGTGGTCGTTTTCCGAAATCCGAATGACTTGTTATCAGTCTTCCTTTGCTTTTGATCTGTTGTAGGATGATGTGTTTTCCTAATGAAGCAGAATCTCTCATTAAGTTCAGGAAACAGGATATAAGGATAAGTCAATTGACTCAATTTATGGGCATAATAAAGCAGGCCCTATTACCTTCAGCAATCAAGGCAAGATGAAACACAAAGTTGTAAAGTTATTATGACAAATAACTTCATATTTACCTGCAAATACAGAGTTAATACATTGTGGTTTTGAGGCAGAATTTGAGGCATTGAAACCTGAAAACAATAATCATAATCTATTATTTAATGTGTCATTTCAGAATACTTCAGAATTTTTTCAAAGCTAGAAATATCTTACTAAATCATTATGAACTACAAGAATTTTTTAAAGTATTTCCTAATGTCTGCTCTACATCTCCTTTCAGCCTTTCTGAGTCAGTGTTAACAGCTGGGGATTTTTTTTTCTTACTTGCAATATAATTAAAAACAAATTTAGCAGGAGCATGGAAGCTTTGTCGTTTGGAGGCCTGTTAGTTTTTAGGAAGGTGGCTAGCAATATATGCAGCTGTTCCTGACAATTATGAAGTTTAAACAGCAAAGCAGGGGAAAGAGACTGAATTTGCCAAATATGGTTTCCTTAGTATGTCAGCGAAAACAAATCACTGGACAGTCTAGAGTTCTTCCTGCAGCATGCTGAAATCACATTTACATGTACTTCATAACAGAAATTACAGATGAAAATTAATAAGTGCAATAGATGCTTCCAAACTGCATGGAACACAGTAGCAGGCAAAGAAAACATAAGCAATTGGGACGTGTTGGAACAAGCCTAGAGGAGGGCCATGGGGATGATCAAAGGGCTGGAGCACCTCTCCTATGAAGGCAGACTGAGAGTTGGAGTTTTTCAGCCTGGAGAAGCCAAGGCTCCAGAGAGACCTTAGAGCACCTTCCAGTACAATCAGGGGCCTACAGGAGAGCTGGGGAGGGAAGTTTTACAAGGCTTGAAGTGGCAGGACAATGGGTAATGGCTGTAAACTGCACGAGTGCACTTTTAAATACTAGGAATAAATTCTTTATTGTGAGGGTGGGGAGGCACTGGAAGAGGTTGCCCCGAGAAGCTGTGGCTGCCCCATCCTTGGCAGTGTTGAAAGTCAGGTTGGATGGAGCTCTGAGCAAAGTGGTCTAGTGGAAGGTGCTCCTGACTATGGCAGGGGGTTGGAACTTGATGAACTTTTAGGTCCCTTCCAACTTAAACCCTTCTGTGATTCTATTTAAGCTGTTTTGCCTTAAAGGAAAAGAAGTAAATTTAATTTTATCTGGAATATAGTCCAAAACTGGCAAAGAGATGTTGGTTATTCATTTAATACATTGAATTCCATTTACTTATATCCATCTCAGTTCAAAATTATGAAAAGAGGTCTTGTGCTTGTTCATTTATTGAGCCTGTCAATATTGCCAAAAGGAGGAATATGGGACAATACAGAAGGAAATGTGTAAAGCAAGTTGTCAATCATGGGTACTATTTCCAAGTACGGAACTATGGTTCTCTGTATGGGTTGTTATTCTTGGGAATCTATAACTCATGGCTTTGACCACCTAGAACATTTTCTGTAAAGCCAGATTCATTCATCTGGGTGTCTTATGTCCAAATTCAGGTCAAACAAAAATACTTCACTCATGTTGTTTTTGAATTGTTCAAAATGTCTTCTGTGGTGTGACACAGGAAGTGGATATTCTAAGGAGAATTATGTGAGTGACCATTACATACAACTTTTATGTTTGTTTGGAAAGTGGTTTTGAAGGAATTGTAAGTGCTAAGTGCAAGGCATCATGAATATTATACAACTGTATGTTCATTGGCATTAAAATTCAGAAACAAATTACTTCCGGTGCCAGAACTTTTTCCTGTGTTCAGTCACTTAACAGGCAAAATTAAAATGAAGTATGAGCAACACCCTTCCTGTGCCAAGAAAAATGCTGCATTTCAAGACAAGGGGCAAAGAAAGTAGAGTCAACATTGGAAACATTTTCACTATCCATTTTGTACAACTGCTGCAAAAAATTGTCTTGTAAGCATATTTACCATGTCTTACCATGTTTTTTCTCCCTTGATATCTGTGCCTAAACTTCTGAATAACTACTGTTTACTACAGTTGTCAAAATAATATATAGCAGCAGGTACAGGGCAGATGCTGTGTAAAGTAAATGTAATAATGATAATCATGATTTTACTAACTCAGTGAAGGAAAATTTAGCTTGGGAAGAGGGATGAGTTTGCTGTCCATTGCCATTAGCTCACTCATCAGCTAGCTGTTGCTCTGGGCAGCTGGTATGCTATCTGCCTCTCCTGGACTCAGCTTGGGTTTTGGCCAGAAAGATTTGCATTTCTTTTGTTTGCTTCTTGTACTTGCTGTGAGCAGTAAGGAAAAGGAGACTGCTGCTCTGGGAGGAATTTGAAACCTAACATTTAGAATACCTGAAGAGACAGAAAGCATCATGATTCTGTGCTCTAGGATTTGTAGTCATTTGGGAGGAGCCCAGCCTTTAGATTTAGCTGATTGTTAATTTTTAACTTCTCAGGGCAGAGTTTCAAGTGGCTGTAATAGCTGGGTCTGATTTTGCAAGAGTATTTATGATGTCCCTTTAAAAATCAGGATTTCGCTGCTGTTAGGCATCTTTAATAATTTTTGAATGTTGCTTGTAATCAAATAATATTCAGAGAGGGAAGAGAAATTAATATTTTTGTCTTTGTTCATAACTAAGCTTTTTCTGGGACAGATTTACATATGTAACTCCCATTCTTCTGCTTCACTGACTTTTTCTCTTCAAACCTCATTTGAAACATAATTTCTTTCTCCTGTGGTTTGTTATTTAACTCCATTACTTAGTTACTAAAACTATTTATTGACAAACACAGAGTGATACAGACTGGCCTACAGTAATGAACAAATGTTTTACTGCTTGTCCTCATAGCTACAGCTGAAAAAGAAAAAAGAAAAAGCATACATATTGAGATCTAATAATATGATGTGCCTGCAAATTAAACATGGGAAGCTTCATAAATCTTATAAAAATTATTAATATTTTTTAGATTTAGCTATTTTCCCAACATATTCCCCTCCATTTTCTAGTTTTTGAAAGAAACATAGAAAAAAAAGCACAAACTGACTTTTCCCCATTATAAGGAAGGTTAGAACCAAAGTTAAAGGCCTAACAAAAAAAAGAGGGACCAAAAGAGAATGCCCCTGAACTATCTAGAAGAATTTTAAGTGATTTTAGTGAGCTTTGGATACACTCCTCAGTGGTAGCAACAATGTAGGCAAAATTCAGTTTTACTGTGGTAGACTTCAGAGAATGAAGGTTGGGATTTGAGGAGACTAAGGGTGTTAGGGGAAGGGAAAGTTCAGCTGCTGTGAGTCTGAAAGCAGGTGTTAGTGGAGCTTCAGACTGAGACATTGTATGTAGAAGGTTGTATGCAGGGATGAAGACTTGTGAAGTTAGTAGAGCTCTGGAGAATTTGGTGTCTGAGAAACCACAGCATTTGATATGAGAAATCATAGGAGATCACCTCCATCTGCAGGATCCATAGGAGATTATGATGGTGAGCTTTGGGGGAGAGCTTAGCCATGTAAGAGCAAGGAGTTAGGGCAAAGGGACTGGAAACACTCTATAGGTTTTGGGATGTGCATCCTTGTAGAGTTTGTGGTTGGTAGCTGGGCAAGTGTAGGCACACAGTTTGCGGTGATTGGGAGTGGGGCTGTGGCCGAGCCTCATCCCCAGTGGGCACAGCTGTGAGCAGCAGGTGAGCAGCACTGACAGCAATGAGCCATGGAGTGCCCAGGGGCACTGACGACCACCAAAGGGAGCAGAGGGCACACAGGTGCAGTGCATCAACAATGAGGGTATAAAAGGCTGGGCTAAAGAACAAGAAGGGCATGCTTGCAGCTTTCTGAAGTGATGTGATGCTGTAGATGCCTGGAGCCTTCTGAAGTGATGTGGTTACTCTGTGTGGCTTGAAGCCCTCTGATATTGTATGGTGGCAATCTGTGTATTGTGGCTGTCTTGGCTGTGGTACGTGCTGTGACAGACAAGGACATGGTTTTGCTTGCCATTTTTAGTCCTTCTGGGGATTGTTCTTTTCCTTCCTTGCAGAAGGTGCTATTCAACCTTTGAGTCTCTTGGAGGAGGAAAGATGAGAAAAAGAAGGTAAGTTCCTATTCCAAAGAGGTCCCTGTGCACTGTAGATGGCTGGAGCCTTCTGAAGTGGTGTGGTTACTCTGTGTGGCTTGAAGCTCTCTGATATTGTATGGTGGCAATCTGTGTATTGTGGCTGTCTTGGCTGTGGTACGTGCTGTGACAGACAAGGACATGGTTTTGCTTGCCATTTTTAGTCCTTCTGGGGATTGTTCTTTTCCTTCCTTGCAGAAGGTGCTATTCAACCTTTGAGTCTCTTGGAGGAGGAAAGATGAGAAAAAGAAGGTAAGTTCCTATTCCAAAGAGGTCCCTGTGCATGGGAGGTTAGAACCAGAACTGAGTCTGGGCAAGAATGGTGTAGCTAGTGAGAAATAATTTGTAGTCATTAGAGCAGGGCTTTCTTGCATTTGGGGAATATCTGCTGGTACCAAGAGGAGCAGCCAGCAATGAGCACTGTGCCTTACAGTGTCCTGGGCAGTAGTGGCAGGAGCAGCTGCTGTGAAAGCGGGAGAGGTGGAGAGTAGGTCTCATCTCATGGTGTTCCTGCTCTCTTGTGTGAGCCTTCTGGTCATGTGTGAGTACTGCAGGGGTTAGTAAGCCCTTGCTAGGGATTGTGTAGTTCTCATTTAAGCTAACAATTGTTGGGTATATTAATAATGGAACAAGATAAAACTGAAAAAGTATGTATTCAGTATACAAAATATGTATTCAAAATACAAAATATGTATTCCAGGCATACATATTTCTTTTTAAAATTGTGTATAAGAAAAACCCTCTGCAGACCCTTTGTGAATGAGCAAACACAGATCCAAGCAGTGGCTGGAGCAGCCATAGGTGACTGCTGAGTAGCCAACATTCATACTTCAAAAAGTCAGTGCACATTTGAAAAAGTTCACTGCACATTCATGTGTCACTGCATGTTTTTATGGCCCTGCTGTGCATGCAGAATTGTTTGTTTTCTTCAAATAAGAAATAGTGTGAACCTGGCCAGCACTACATAATACCATAGACTCCTCTTTTAGCATCTGGTTCCTTTCTTACTGTAATAGACAAACAGCTAAACACTCAGTGGCTTAATTTCTTTTTGTAATTCTGAGGCATTCAGATGCTTATCAGATCCTGATGGGCTTGCTGTTTTTACTTAGGCAAAATCACTACTGACTTTGAAGCCCGTATCAGCTTTGTTTAGCTAATGAGCATTGACTTGAGAATTTGGCCCCAAATTCCTTTTATAGATAAATCATCTGGAGCTCTCACGTAAGCAAACTGACTACTTATGTTTCCAGTATTTTTTGGGTTTCCTAACCATCAGGAGCGTCACAAAAGTGAATGACCTTTCTCACAATCTTTTCATTTCAAAGTGGGATTGGGAATTTAAAATAGAGGTTTATATAAAACAGTTTTCCTGGCAGGAAAGTGAAGTAAGTTCAACAACTTCATGCATAGTAACACTCCCACAGAAACAGATAGCAGTAGTATCAGACTTCAGGAGGAGCAAGAATGACAAGGAATGGTAGAATATAGGAGTGTGTGACCAAACTTTTGAGGACTTACAGCTGCAAAACATTATATAACATGTGGGCAGCTACACAGGTGTTATAAAACTGCTGGTGTTGAGGGACTATTTGATTATCTAATTACCCTTATAAAGGGACAACCTAAGCTGTGTGAAACTCCCCCATCTGAAAACTCATTTTGTTGTGCTATTTTCAGATTTTCTCTCTGCAAATTACAGTTAAAAATAATTGGAAATCTAGGAGGAAAGAAAGAAAAAGAATCCAATTTGTCACTAAAAAAAAAATCAACTTTTAAAATTCCTCCCTGGTGGTCTGGTATTATTAAATATTCTCCTTGATTTTTTTTTAATCTTGGTTTATTGGAGGGAGAAAAACAATTATCTGTAAACGTAATTTTTAATGCATGGTAATAAAAATAAATGGTATAGCTCTGCTGCTGCTCACCTAAATCTTCTTCCCTGGTGGTCTGGTGGTATTAAATAATCTGTTCCACATGTATTCATCATTTGCTGACAGGAAAAGGAAAACTTTTTACATTTTATTGTCCACAAAACAAACACAATGTTACTTAATCAGGTGGGTAAGACCTCTCTGAGGGTCACTCAATAAACAAAAGAAATATATTACTTTCCCAGGTGGTGTAACTTTAGCTCTCCTGATTTACATGACAATTATCATGAAACTAGATGAATAGAAATTATTTCCAGGGTGCTCTTTGTGTTCAGTTCTACTTTGTCCAGGTTATGGTTGTTATGGTTTTATTCTTTTCTGCGACAAATTAACTCAGTAGTGAGGACTTGCCACAAATTATCTCATTGCTGATGAGGCATTCATTTACTGCAGGGTATTTACTGTCTGTCTTACACTCACACATAACATCTTTTCTATGTAAATCTCATGGTGGTTTACTGAATTGGATCAGCAAACAGGTATTTCTTAGTTTTTTAAGAAACTGATAGACTGAGAGGTGGTGATGTGCAGCGTGGACTTGCCTGCAGCTGTGTGGCCATTCCATGACAAGAGAGGAAAATAGAATCCCCAGTGTCTGGGGTTTTTCCCCTTCTTGCCTACCTCTAGTATCTTCTACATCAAAAACTCTTCAAGTTTGTCTTCATTAAATCTTCATTTTAATTTTCCAAATGCCCTTTAAAAAAAAAAGCTTTCAGCAATGGAAGTGAAACACATTAATTCTTATCCACGATATTTTTTTGGCATTTGTGCGTGTTTTAGAAATTATGCTGGAGCAATTTTTCCTTTGCTAGTTTAAACAGTGTAAAGACATGATGTGTGTACTCTTCTCTCAGAAAACACCAAAAAGACATCAAAGATTTGCTGGACAGGGTATTATTGTATTAACACTGGATTTTGAAAATACAACATTTTCATGCTGTTATTTTTTTGGTTTTGGCATAAAGTTAAATAGGGTATTTTAGAGATTTATCTGTCCTCACTGATGATACTTCTCATTTTGTAAAACAATATATATGATTTACTTATTAAATTCAAGCTGATATTATTAACATATAAATCTCAAGTTTTATTCTGGGTGTATACTTCATATGGCACATTGGGGATGCTGACAGAAACTGCTTCATTTCCTTTGGGTTGTTTTACTTTGATACAGTTTGGACATTGAAAACAGCAGTGGGTAGAAAATGCACACTGGATCACTCTTAAAAAAGCTGGTGCAGGGGCTGCTTTTTGCTGAAAAGCCTGTAAATAACAGGAACATAAGAGGCTGCCACAAGATGTAATTTTGTTCTCATTATGCTGTGAAGGTTTGATAACTTGAGAGAGGTAAACCACCAGAGAAAGATAGATTTCCTATGACAATGATCTTAAAAGTAAAAAATTGTTCTAAATAGTTCACAGCCCTTTCTTGGAAGCACAAATATTTTTGTTTTAAAATAGGAAGATATGTACTTTTGTTTTTAAACATGAATTGCTTTTATCTCAGAGGTATAAAACAATTAACTTAAACTCTGATAAAATCTGTAGTTTGTAATTGAAAACATGTGCATTGTGGGACCAGTGGAATGTTTCCAGCCAAGCTGTGTGTGGCAGAAAAGAATCTCTACAGAGCTCAAAGCATTCCTGGTTTTATGGTAAATGTCTCTCTCTCCTCACTGAATTCTTATTAATCAGTTTTATTTACATGGCATTGTAGTGATCTACTGAAGAGTAAAATGCTTTAAAAACATTTTGAAAGATACAAAAGAGTCCTTGAGGGAGCAGACTTTAATTTAGCAGCAAGCTCCATTATAAACCACATTCAGTGATAAAGCTTGACAACAACGCAAACTTGTTATGTATGTGTGTATGTGCATATTTATTTTCTACTGATGTTGTTGGGATGTCTTCTTGGGAAACTCCCTTACAGTGGAGTGATAAATTGTTTGTGTGGCCATGATAAGGATATGTTTTATTAGGATATAATACTTATTCACATTAACTACCATGACTACGTTATAAAAACTTTTTCATCAAACAACTGCTCTCTGGGGCATGTATTTCCCAGGGATAGTAACACAAACCAGAGTGCTGACTTTGGGGCAAATGTCACACTGTTAAAAGTGAAGATTGAGAAGGAAAACCTAATCTAAACCCCATTACTTTTGTCTTACAAACAGCCTATTTTCCCCAAAAATATAACTTTTTTTTTAAAAAAATGCTTCATTTGAAAAGAAACACATAGCTTCTAGAAATTGCTAAGTTCTCAGCACAGGGCTCTATTTTCCTGTTCTCAAACTGAACATACTTATTTCCTAATTCTTTTAAATGTAGCTCCATAAGGTTGAATGGGTTTTAATCCCTGCAGTATTCCTCAGAAGGTGATCTTTGTGTAGGTATATAGGAAGAAAAGTTGTGTTACAAAAGCTTCCTAGGCCTTACATAGGTGGTAGCCTGTGTGTAGTAACTCCCACGGCACTGTTGCTCTTGCTGCTGCTGTAGGACTCTAGTCCTGTTAGAGTGTTCAAAGAAAGCTCAGATATATCAGGGTGAATTGCAGAGTCTATGAAAAATTCACTATCTGATTGTGTAAATGAATTCTGGAACAATTTTTGAACATGGGGTTTGCAGGTATTTAATTATTGCTTTTAAAGAGGCCAGTGATAGAAATGGAATTCCATTGCCTAGACTGTCTACAGAAATCTTTCTCGTAGGATGGTGACTCTGCAGCACAGACCTCTCTAACTTAATTTGTTTGAGAAACTAAAAGTAATCTTTGCAGTTTGTTCTCTCAGAGACCCCACCATAACTTGAGAAAAGCATTTTGGTAATGAAGTGTGTTGCAGCAAAGGAATGCAATGTTTTATTCTCTGCTCTGAAGAGGTGGGATCCTTCTGGTCTCACTTCTGCAAATTCTTTCTAATTTCAGAAACTCAGTTCTCAAATCTGGAATCATTGCTCCAGTAGAGCTGCTTTCAATATCGGTAGAAGAATGTAAACAACTTTGAAAGAACTTTAGATTATTTTTGTTGTGGGTTTTTTTTTTTGTTTTTCCTTCATAAGCCAGTCTGAGGAAGAAAGCTAGCACAGGACATTTTTCTGAAGCCACCAAAGAGTTTTGGTGTTCAGTGCTAAGCTTTAAGTTTGGAAAAAAACCTCTTAGGATATCTCTGTGCCTTTCCCAGAGCTAAAATAAAAACTGTTGCATTTTCAGGACAAGAAATCATGACTAAAACTATGAAGAAACAGTGTCCTGAGCTCATTTAGCTATACCCACCAAATCTACCTGCAGCATTAAATTTTTTGTAAAAGATGAAA